GGTTTCATGATGGACTCTGGCATCAGACTTGTGGGGGTAACCAATTACTCCACAGACATGAAAAAACTGTGAATGAAAGTGAACTTTCAGAGTTTTTCACTGAAGCTAAATTCTCCAGTGCCCACTGTGTCTCCAGTGTCCCTTGTGTCTCCAGTGCCCAATGTATCTCCAGCACCCACTGTGTCTCCAGTGTCCCCTGTGTCTCCAGTGCCCCCTGTGTCTCCAGTGCCCCCTGTGTCTCCAGTGTCCCCTGTGTCTCCAGTGCCCCATGTGTCTCCAGTGCACGCTTTGTCTCCAGTGTCCCCTGTGTCTCCAGTGCCCGCTGTGTCTCCAGTGTCCCCTGTGTCTCTAGTGTCCCCTGTGTCTCCAGTGTCCCCTGTGTATCCAGTGCCCGCTGTGTCTCCAGTGTCCCCTGTGTCTCCAGTGCCCCCTGTGTCTCCAGTGCTCCTGCTTGTGTCCCCTGTGCCCCTTGTGTCTCCAGTGCTCCTTGTGTCTCCACTCCTTTTTCAAGTAACTCCTGTGTCTTCTTTAACCTCAGCATCTCCAGTAACCTCATCATTTCTGTGCTTCCAGTGACCCCCGAGCTCCTGGGTCTCCAGTGACCCCTGTGTCTCTGGTGACCACAGCATCTCCAGAGACCCCTGCGCTCTTGTGTCTCCAGTAACCTCTGTGCACTCCTCTGTCTCCAGTATCCCTTGAGACTCCAGCAACCCATGTTGTTCTTCCAGTGTCCCCTGTGTCTGCAGAACCCCCTGTGTTTTCAGTGATCGCTACACTCCTGTGTGTCCTCAGTGACTCTTGTGTCTCATGTAACCTCAGCATCTCCAGGGACCCCAGTGCTTCTGTGTTTCCAGTGACCTCAGTGCCTCCAATGATTCCTAAGCGTCTGGGTTTCTAGTGACCCCTGTGTATCCAGTGACCACAGCATCTCTAGAGACCCCTGCTCTCTTATGTCTCCAGTGACCCCAGTAACCCCCATACACTCCTGTGTCTCCAGATGCTGCTGTAAGTTCCATTGACCTTACAGCAAAGGTGTCAAACTCAGTTTCGTTGCGGGCTGCAGCAGCATTGTGGTTGCCCTTAAACAGCCGGTTGTGTCTGTAAGACTAGATGTCCAGAGCACCCCCCCTCCCTGACAGTACAACAGATGTCAAGAGCCCCCCCAAAAACAGAAGTGAAGAGTCCCCCACCCTCCCTTACATCTCAGTGCACCCCCCTTACCTTGTGTTGCTGCCTGGAAGAAGATGGGGGCCGCAAAGTAGAAAGTACAGGGTCTGGAGATGGACCAGAGAAGGGCTGGAGTTAGCTGCTGGAGTCTGCTGAATGCTGATGCAAGGGGAGGTGGAGATGAGGGAGTGCTGCAGCTGCACAGAGAGGCACAGGATCTGTAGGAGGAGCTCTGTCCTCCTCTCTGCTGCTGACTGCTGAGACAGGGTGGGGGGCTGCACAAAGAAGCACAGGATCTGGCAGAGGAGTTCTGTCCTCCTTTCATCTGTTGACTGCTGAGAGGGGGGTGCCGCAGCTGCAGGAGAGGTGCAAGGGCCACATGGAATGGCCTGATGGGCTGCACTTTGTGGCTTCCTGCAGCTCTAAAGCAGCATGTGTCATTCTGTGACTCCAGGGCACCCCATGCACCCCATGCACCTCGGTGACACCTGTGTTTGCATGCAGCCCAAGGTATGCTCCTGAGTTTCCTGCGTTGTTTCTTTTTCAGTAAATATGGATCCCTGTCCATTACAATTGGAGTTGGAGTACGCAAGACATACTGTATAGAACAGGGGTAGGCAACCTGCGGCTCTCTAGCTGTTGTGGAACTACATTTCCCAGGAGGTATTGCAACATTACAAAACTGACAGTTACAGCTATGACTTGCAGAGGCATGATTGAACTTGTAGTCCTGCAACAGCAGGAGAGCCAGGTTGCCCACCCCTGGTATAGAAGAAGACAAGGACTCACTTCACCATCTGTAACTAAAATATCACTTTTGGATGAACTGACCTCAAAAAGGAATGCTATAATGTGCTATTCCTATAGCACACCATCGGAATCCAGCTGTCATTTCTCTAGCTCTGGTTTCAAGAATAAAAGTGAGCCTTTGATTGGTTGGTTCAAGCAACTAGATGATACATTTTTGTGACAAAAACAGCAGCATTTTGCTTATGAATGGGATGTGGATTCCTTCCCATCTGTCAGCTGAACAATGAATGCTGCTGACAGGGCTTCCTGCGGGCCCCTGGGGGTCCGGCTGGCAATCATTGCCATAAGGGCTGTTGTGAGCATCTAAACATTTGATTGTGTGCAGTCTTCAGCCTCGGTAAATCTCCCAATGATGATTTTAATAATTTAGTCTTGGGCAGCAGCCAATGAACACAAAGCGCTGGAGAGGACAATAAACAGACACACATGTAACAATTAGGGTAAGCAAACTTTGGTGTGTGTGCATGAGGAGGGGGGGGGGGGGGGGGGTTCCCAAATTGGGCCTCGATGAACATTGACAACCAAAGCTCTGCTGCAGCTCATAATTACCAATTGTACAATTGCCCCATAAAGGCCATAAACAGCAATTTACAAGCCATTGCAACCACTTATATCAGCTTTAGATCACAGAACAGACGACAACGGATCAAGGTAACATACCACCAACACTTTAGATCAGTGGTCTCCAAACTGCGTGCTTTTATCTGGCCTTAGGGCCCTGTTTTGTCCACTGATACCAACAATGGGGCATAATTCCCCCCATTGACATCAATGAAGGGGCGCAATGCCTCCCAATGATACCAACAATGGGGCCCAATGCCACCAATGAAGGTGCACAATTCCTCCCAATGACACCAACGATAGAACATAATTTCTCCCAATGACACCAACAATGGGGCCCAATCACACCAATGATGGGACACAATTTCTCTCAATGACACCAACAATGGGGCCCAATGACACCAATGATGGGACTCAATTTCTCCCAATGACACCAACAATGGGGCCCAATGACACCAATGATGGGGCACAAATTCCCCCCACTGACACCAACGATGGGGTACAAGTCCTCCCAATGACACTAACAATGGGGCCCAGTGACACCAACGATGGGGCACAGTGACACCAACGATGGGGCACAAATTCCTCCCACTGACACCAATGATGGAGCATAAGTCCTCCCACTGACATCAACAATGGGGCTTAATTCCCCCAACGATACCAAAGATGGGACACAATTTTTACCAATAACACCAACAATGGGGTCCAATGACACCAATGAAGGGGCACAATTCCTCCCAATGTCACCAACGATGGAACACAATTTCTCCCAATGACACCAACAATGGGGCCCAATGACACCAACGATGGGGCACAAATTCCAATGACACCAATGATGAGGCAAAAGTCCTCTCGCTGACACTAACAATGGAGCTCAATTCCTCCCAATGATACCAAAGATGGTGTCACTGCTTTTTCTCCTGTAATGTCAGAACCTTTCTGCTCCTACTGGCCACTGTCCGGCCCACCTAAATTGTAAAGGACAGTAAACTGGCCCTTTGTTTAGAAAGTTTGGCGCCCCCTACTTTAGATCATAGACTGGCGGTAGGCAGGTTCATTTTTCTGAATGAAAGCTGTTTGAAAGTACATGAAAACTGTGACCAGCAATAAGATACTTTAAGGCCTTGTTTACACTTGGGGTTGAGGGCAGTAAAAACCACCAACTGCCCCCCCTTAAAGTGATATTAAAGGCAATATTTAAAAAAAAAAAAAAAAATGTTATACTTACCTGCTGTGTGCAGTGGTTTTGCACAGAGGCAGCGCCGATCCACCTCTTCTCGAGTACCCCTCTGGTGCTCCTGGCACCTCCTCCCTGCCAAGTATCCCCAGAGTAAGCATCTTGCTATGGGGGCACCCAAGAAGGCTCGCTACAGAGCCATGCTCTGCATGTCCATTCACACACAGAGCCACAGCTTGGCCCCGCCTACTTCTCTCCTCATTGGCTCATTGGCTGTGAATGACTCCAATGGAGAGGGAGAGTCCCCAGAAAGCCGAGGCTCTCGTGCACAGTGTTGGATCATGATGGGGCTCAGGTAAGTATTTGGGGAGCTGCTGCACACAAAATGTTTTTCACCTTCTTGCAGAGAATGCATGAAGATAAAAACCCTTGAGCTTTTACAACCACTTTAAAGGTGCAATGTCAGCGGACGGGGTGTACACATGCCACAGCAAAAATGATCCCTCCTGCCAGGCTTGGTGGACAGTACTGCCCGCTGAACGAGGTCTATTCAAATGAAAGGGACCAAGCCACAATCTCCCTGCAAAGACATGCAATGCATGTGGTTCCAGTGCAGTGATGAAGGTTTTTAGGGGTTGAAACAGCTGGTGAGGATACATAACACCACACAACCTGTCAATCGCCCTCTGAAAAACGATCCACCATGGAACACTCTTCAGAGGGCTAATGCCCCTTAAGGGCCTGTGTTGACGGATTTTTAGACAAATTTTGCATGGCCATACAAGTCCATGGGAATGCAAAACGTGCTTGAGGTATATCAAATGCATGAGAAGGAGGTCAACTGAAGGTCAAATGCAGCTGTCAATTATTTCTGAAGGTTCTCAGAACTGATCAAAGTGATGGCATCAACCCAAGACCAAAGCCTATTGGCCTAGGCCAGTGATGGCGAACCTATGGCACGCGTGCCAGAGCTGGCACGCAGAGCCATCTCAGTGGGCACGCCAGGAGGAAGAGAGGAAGAGAATGCGCTCTCCTGCGCACCCCCCGAGCGCGCGCACCGGGCAATCTCCGTGATCGCTGTGTCCTGCGGACACAGCTGATCACGTGACGTGGTAAAAAGGCCAATCACAGCTGCCTTTTACCACGTGATCAGCCATGTCCAATGACACGCTGATCACCAGGAAATGCAAATGCCGGTTCTCGGCTGCACTTTCCTCACGCTGTCAGATCGTGAGGAAAGTACTGCCGAAAACCGGCAGTTGTCAGAGCAGGGAACGGCACCGATCATCAGGGTCACTGATCATCAGTGCCCTGATGATCGGTGCCCAGCAGTGCCACACACAAGTTCCGCCCACCTGTGCCCAGCAATGCACCCACCTGTGCCCACCTGTGCCGCCCAGTAGTGCCACCCACCTGTGCCCACCAGTGCCACCCACCAGTGCCCATCAGTGCAGCCCAGCAGTGCTGCCAGTCAGTGCCACCAGTCAGTGCCCAGCGGTTGTGCCAGTCAGTGCCCAGCAGTGATGTCAGTCAGTGCCACCTATCAGTGCTGTCTATCAGTACCCATTATCAGTGTCGCCTATCAGTGCCACCTATCTGTGACACCTCATTAGTGCTGCCTATCAGTGCCACCCATCAATGATGCCCAGCAGTGCCGGCAGTCAGTGCCATCTGTCAGTGCCTCCAGTTGGTGCTATCAGTCAGTGCCGCTTATCAGTGCCCATCATTTCCTGCATATCAGTGCATCATCAGGGCCTCCTCATAAATGCTCACCAGTGCTGCCTCATCAGTGCTACCTATCTGTGCCGCCTCATCAATGCCCATCAGTGCTGCCTATCAATGCAGCCTCACCAACGCACATCAAAGAAGAAATATTACCTGTTTGCAAAATTTTAGAATAGAAGCAAAGGAAACCTTTTATGTTTTTAATTTTTTGCTCTTTTTTCATTTATAGTGCAAAAAATAAAACACACCAGTGGTGATTAAATACCACCAAAAAAAGCTCTATTTGTGTAAAAAAAATGAAAAAAATTGCATATGGTTACAGTGTTGCATGACTGCACAATTGTCTTTGTTAAGTGCAACAGCACTGAAAGCTGAAAATTGCCCTGGGCAGGAAGGGGGTAGAAGTGCCCGGTAGGCAAGTGATTAATTCCAGTGTTGGCACTTTGAAATAAAAAAGTTGGTTTTGTGTTGCAGTTTGGGCACTCGGGCTCAAAAAGGTTCGCCATCACTGGCCTAGGCCCTAAAATAAAGGGCCAAGCACCCAGTTCCCTTGTCTTGCCTGCTCCAGCTTTCTTTGCCTCCCATGCTACCCTGTTCAGCCACAGGATGTTAAGAGAAATACCCAGTACTTCCAGGTATGGTGAAGTCATGTGACTTCCTCCCCTTCCTCCCATATGATAGTACTGATGCTTGGTGAGTGGCTGCTCAAGCAGTCATTGTTGTTGCAAGGGGGTGGGGAGAGAGCCCCTACGCCTAACACAAGGCTTCCTCTCTGTACCCCTAGTTTCTGAACAAAGCTTCTTCTCTTCATTCCTTGTATAGGAGCTAAAGGACAGTATGTGTTGCTAACAAAGTAAAGCCCAACTGAAGTCCAACACCTTTTGATCTCTTTATACATTATGATTTGAGATTGATTTTTGCCTGCAAATGCCTTAAATGATCTTTTTCTGTCCTCACATTGCATTGCTCTCTATGGGCAGAGCTGAGTAAACAACAGCAACCCTCACCATCACTGTTCTCAATGTTTCCAGGGAAAGGGGTCATTTCTGACCAGATCAGTGAAAATTACTGAGCATTGGGGAACTCTGGGACCTATTGGACAGCCATGTTTAGACATCCTACCAGCTGATGTAACAGGAAAGTGGAGGTTAGCCTGGGAAACCGGAGGTTGTTACTACAATGTCTCTCTGATTGCATATGAATTTCTGCAAATGGACTGGTTGTAGACCCTTACATATACCCAGTGAAGTCACTGGCCCCAGGTGACACACACAGAGATGAAACAAATCCTCCTACATAAGTTGTACCTGTTTATCTGCAGCCCTCTCTTCTCTACAATGTTCAGAGCAGCAAAATGTATATAGCTTGTCTAAGATTCAGACAAGCAGGGGGCGGGAAGCTGAAGTTACACTATGCAAAGCTCGGTGAGAGCTGATTGGTGGGAAGGGACACTCCTACCTTTCCCACATGGAAGAAAAATATATTTGAAATATATTTTAAAAATATTCTTCCCAATTATATTGACATATATTTGAAATGCTACAATTTTGGCCATATTCAATATATTTCAAAATATATTTCAATAAATAAATAAATATATAAATATATATATATATATATATATATATATATATATATATATACTGTATGTCTTTAAAAATACAAATATATGTAAAAATATATGTTAAAATTACTTTTTTATATGTTAAAAAAAAAATCTGAAGAATATGTTTTAAAAATATATTTGGGAAGAATATTTTTAAAATATATTTCAAATATATTTTTCTTCCATATGGGATAGAACAGAGCTGAGGCTGCCAGCCACGGGCTGTGTGCTGGAGCTCCCTCCCCTGTCACCTTTTTGTCAGAAGTGACTCATACAGATAGCAGAGGAACGAGGCAACAGACAGAAATGACACAGGGGGGTTGATTTAGTAAAGGTAAATATACTGTGCATTGCAAGTGCAGTTGCTCCAGAGCTTAGTAAATGAGGTAAAGCTTCACTTTTCAAGGAATACCCAATCACATGCAAGGAAAATAGAAAACAACATTTTTGCTTGCGCATGATTGGCGGGGCTTGGATGTGACGTTACCACGCACGGCAGATAGTGACTTGCGGCTGGATTAGCAGCCGGATACGATCCCATTCTGAGATTACACTCGTTGTACTGGTGTCAGTGACAACACTTGTTTTTTTAATAAAGAAGTTTTATGGTTTTACACAATGGAAGTTTTTCCTCTTCCTTCCTGGTCTATGTATCCATGTGAGATTATATGAGGCGTTCAGCAGAGGATCTTTAGAGATGGAGTGATCCCTAGCTGTGGTGTTCTCTGAATGGTTCCTGAGAGGAGGAGAGATTTTTTCCCGTAGATCCATACTCCCACAGTTCAGGAGTTCTCAGCTGGTTTATAACTTTACTAGCCTGGAGCTCTGGTGAGTTTATGTAATTCATTTGGTGGTGGGAGACATATGGTGGTGCGTGATAAAGAGAAGCTACACGGAATTTACTATTGGAGATTTCTGGTGAACCTTTGTGTTGGAGCATGCAATGTAACAGTACAGTGACTTTCATGATTTGCACCATTATTTATTGCCCAGCAGCACTTTATTCACACATTTACATTTTTTTTGCACTTTTATTTCTAGTTATATAACAAATTGTTGTTAAATATTTATATATATTTATGTCTTTTTATCTATTTACTTATTACAGGTACTTAAATAGTGGCGTCAATTTACGCTTCGTTTTAAATATATATTATACATTGACATCAGTCCCTAACCCTAACCTAAGGAGCATACAATCTAAGGTCCCTAACTCATGATTGTTTATTAGCACGGCATATGTATTAGAGATGCTGATTGGTTGAGTTAGCGCTATTCTACACATTTTGCACATAGAGCTTAGTAAATGAGGTAAGGCTTCACTTTTGCAAAGAATACCCAATCACATGCAAGATAAATAGAAAACAGTATTTTTGCTTGCACATGATTGGAGGATAGAAGTCAGCAGAGCTTCCCTTCATTTCAGAGCTCCCCCTCAGATCTGGAGCAACTAAACTTGCAGTGCACAGACTATTTGTCTTTAGTAAATCAACCCCCCTCTGAATTGAGACAAGTACACCCTACAGGTCAGGGGCGGACTGACAACTCATGGGGCCCCCGGGCAATAGGGGATTATGGGGCCCCTGTGTCCTTGCCCAAACTCAAAAAAGCCTATGAAAAAGGTACCAGGGGCATCTTATGGGGCCCTCTACTGACCCCACGCCCCCGGGTGGCATCCGAGTTTCCAAATGGTCAGTCCGCCCCTGCTACAGGTATCCCTCGCTTAACGATCGAATTACGTTATGGGAGACCGGTCGTTAAGCGAGTTTGGTCAGTAAACGAGCAATTGTATTTAGCATGAACATTACAATATTCAGAACAAAGAAATGGACAAAGGAAATTCCAACTTGATGACTTTGCTTTTATTTGCAAGTATGGTACCACCTGGGCTGAACATCAGAGAAACAGCAATGCCTAGGGTGGCTAAGAATGGCAGGCAACACCATGCCCATACAGTACATACTGAAGACATTACAGTACTCACCGAGAAATCTGTGGAATTTGTGGAGTAGAAAAAGCCATTACAGCAGCCACCATAGACTGCACAGAAGCCACCATAGGCCGGAAAAGACACCCTAGGCCACAAAGAAGCCACCATAGGCCGCACTGCCGCTTCACAAGAAGATCCACCATAGACCGCACTTCCGCTCAGTTTCTCCGTCATAAGTCCCCCAGCAGGGTTGTAAGTTCGTACAGCGGGTCGTAAGTCCAAGGAAAGGAAATTCGATCAGGTCGTAAGTCTGTGGGCAGTTTGTAAGTTTGAGCCAAAAAAAAACTGGTTGTAAGTGCACAAATTCGTTAAACGGGTAGGTCGTTAAGCGAGGGAAACCTGTACAGAGGGATATGTTTTGTCCATATTTCATGTCTGAAGTTTACAACCGCTTTAACTGAACCTGTGCACACCCGTGGCAGTACTAGAATGCAGCCCCTGGTGTGATGTAGGATGACAACGGGGCCGGTGCACCAATGGCGCCACATCGCACTGTTTGATTTGAATGATGTACTTTTTTTCAGCGCACACCGAGTATTTCGCTTTGTCTTGCGTTAGCACTGCACTGGAAAACCTTTGAATGGTCACCCACACATGAATAGAAGGGAACTCTTCACTTCCGTTTCTGGGATCCATCTTGAACAGGGTGCTTACCTTACTGGAGAAATGTCCTCTTGCTTCCTAGTATGTGTACAGGACAGGAAAGAAAGGGAAATCCTCCCAAGGGGACACTGCAGATAAATTGCAGGGGCTTTAAGCATTACTTACTCTATCCCAGACATTCTCAACCTTTCTACTCCTGAGGAACCCTTGAAATAACATTCAGGTCTTGGGTAACGCCTGCTAAAGCCAATTCATTGGAATTAGTGGAAAAACTGTCTATTACACTAGTTGGCAGTAGTGGTCAGAATTTCACCTTACAGTTAGCCAAAAGGATCATTGATGTCTTGCCGTTGGCTCTGCCAAGTGGTGTTGGCCCCTGAACTATGCAGGCATCATCAAATGGGAGGTCATTCAGCTCAAGGAACCCCTAGCAATCTCTGGAGGAACCTTAGGGTTCCATGGAGCCCTGGTTGAGAAAGCCTACACTATCCAGTCTTCTTGTTGAAAGCCCCCTTACAGTCATTGATGTCTTGCCGTTGGCTTTGCCAAGTGGTGTTGGCCCCTGAACTATGCAGGCACCATCAAATGGGAGCTCATTCAGCTTAAGGAACCCCTAGCAATCTCTGGAGAAACCTTAGGGTTCCATGGAGCCCTGGTTTAGAAAGCCTACACTATCCAGTCTTCTTGTTGACAGCCAGCCTCGTTTAACCACCCGCCCCTTGGAGCGTGTCATCACACAGCCTAGGCTCAGAA